GACACACACACACGAATATACAGATACACAGACACAGACACACGAACATACACTGACATGGAGACATACACATACATATACATACTCACACACACGGACACAGACACACACACACGAACATACAGATACACAGACACATACACAGACACACGGACATACAGATACACAGACACACGGACAGAAGTTTGTGCTGCGGTACTGAGTGCTTGAACTCAGGGCGCTGATGTGGAGAAGCCACACGGACATACACATGCACAGACAGACACACAGACAAATACACAGATACAGACACACACACACACACACACACACACACACACACAAATACAAACATACACACACACACACACACGCACACACACACAGATACACACACACACACACACACGATCTTGGCGGAGGACTATTCCGTCTTAAGTAAGTTGTACTCTGCCCTCCATGGCTTTATGAATGAATGGTTCCTGGCCCTGTGATACGTACAATGCTTCACACGTTTGGGAAACTGGGGGTGTCATGGTGGCTTTGTCTTTGGTTGGGTGGTCAGCGTGTTTCTAGATTCGGGGTTGGGGGGGGGGGGGGGGGGGGGGGGGGGGGGGGTGGTTGGGGGGAACATGTCATTGGACCGCGACACACCCCCTACCACTGTCAGACACAAATGAGAAGTGGTTTGGGCGGAGAGTGAGAGCAGGGTCGGAGGAGTTGACTACTGCGTGCCAGATTCATTTCGATCTCATTGATTCGAAGAAAAAACGGCACCCAGTAGCCAACCCTTGTATGATGTCCGTGTACTGACTGGCAGCGTCGAACGACCGCATACTTCCAGTGGAGGAACTCACAAACAATATTAAACAAACCCTCACAGAGCTTGAAATCATCGTTTTGTCGTTCCACTTACAGACACATAGACAAAAGCACAACCATCATGTCAATGTCAGCGGCGCAGGCAAGGGTAGCTCTTCAAGAGGTGATGCAATACGCGGAGGAGAGCATCCACTATGATGACGAAGGGGAACTTCGACTACTCACGGAGAGAGTGTCGAGTTACTTCGATGTCAGAGTGAACATTCGTGCAAGCATCGCTACGAACGGAGANGATGACGAAGGGGAACTTCGACTACTCACGGAGAGAGTGTCGAGTTACTTCGATGTCAGAGTGAACATTCGTGCAAGCATCGCTACGAACGGAGAGGAGTCGCTCAGAGCACGGATGTTATTGGCACGGTTCACTTAGGTGCATGATTTGCGTGTAGACAAYAGTGCTGATACCAGTGCATACAGTTTGAGAAAAGTGGTTGGTTGGATGTGCAGAGAAGGGATGTCCGATGAAGGGGACGTGGATATGACAAAGCAGCAGAAGGGTGGGACATACATGCCAGCCGATTTCAAGCAGATGCTGATGACACAGGCGAAGAAATGGGGAATGCTTGTTGAAGATTCTAAGGACGAGATGAAGAGCGGTGCAACAGAAATTTTAGTACTCTCGCGTTTGAAGGACATACCGCAAGCTACCCCGCAAGACTTCCAAGATCTTCCAATAATTTTTGCAAACGGGGTGGAGTATGTTTTACTCGACCAACTAGTGGATTTCATGAAAAAGAAACCTTACGATCGGAATGTCATACATGAGGCATTGCATGATGTGACAGAGCAAGCACTGGCGGGCAAGGACCTCATTAACTACAGGGTGCGGAGTGTAGACGAGGATGTCGTATGTGGTACTCCATTGTGGGAWGGAATATTCATGGCAACTTTGCATCGCCTCAGCATTGCGACTTCTGAGGTGGACAGAAAGAGGTCAAGGGAAGAAGGATGAAAGTTGGTGGCCAGGGAAGCAGATGTTGCACTTCATGCAGCAGATGGACACACTTCAGCAGGGGAAGAAATTGTGAGAATAGTCTCCATCGTGCGTTCTCCAATAAACACAATGTCCACGGAGGAGGTAGAAGAAGAAGATGTGTTCAATGAGTGGACAATGACAGAACAATAGCGAAAACGAGGGTTCGAAGACTCGTATTTACCGATCGATTTCGAATATGACATTGAAGAAACAAGAGTGAGGAACAATGAAAAAGATGCGAGGGCGCCTAACTATGAGGTGGAAGTGAGTGGCARCGATGTGAGCAACGACGAGGAGGGTGWGGAATATGATGCCTACTGGGATATGGAAGCAGGGGGAGGACAAGCGTCAAAAGGGTGGGCACATGTGATTCTTAGGTTGGCACGTGTATTCTCTAATCCCCATTTACTGTTGCGTGTCATGCTGAAGGAGGCAACACCTGAGGGCGCAGTCCAGTATGCAGCATTGACGACCATTATGAGATCATGCTCGAACGAAAAAAGATGGTCACGTATGGGGAAGTCATGGTTTGTCTTGGTCAACAGAGAGGCTGTCCTCGCAACATCACTTACTTGGGGCCTAAACCTTAGCTGCCTCCTGCACGGGGCTGTAGCCAGCGGTTCTGGTGCTACCTTGCACCCGACACTATCAACAGGAGAGGAAATACTTCGTGCTCACACATGGCTTGACTGCGCACCAGAGACCATGGTGGACAGTGGTGATATAGACATTGGTAGTAGACAGCGTTGAATGCAATTGTTCGATGCACAGGCTATGCATATCATGATTAATTCTGCACAACGCATTTACAGAGTATGTGCAATATTTTAGGTGTTTGAGTGCTCGACAACGGTGTACATGCTCTCTCTCTCTCTCTCTCTCTCTCTCTCTCTCTCTCTCTCTCTCTCTCTCTCTCTCTCTGCGAGGCTACAACCTGCAATGAGCCCCTTCGCCCCCAGGCATAAATGTGGGGGCCCCAAGTGGTGATTCGAGTTGCAAATCTGCTTTTGGTTGGAGGTCATGACTTTTTGGCTTTCATGTTGATGATGTGGAATGCTTGTTCAAGTTTGTTATTGCTCAAAGTATACAGTACGTGTGTGCGTGTGTTGTTAAATATTTTTTATTAGTGTTCCTTTCAATGACTGCAGAAAAATGTTTTTCTTTGATAAATGTTCCAACAAATCCGCATTTTTATAAATATTTTTCTTTTATAAATGCTCTCTCTCTCTCTCTCTCTATCTATCTATCTATCTATCTATCTATCTATCTCTATCTATCTATCTATCTATCTATCTATCTATCTATCTATCTATCTATTTATCTATCTTTCTATCTATCTATCTATCTTTATTTATCTATCTATCAATGTGTGTGTGTGTGTGTGTCTATGTGTGTGCCTGCCACGTGTGTGTGTGTGTGTGTGTGTGTGTGTGTGTGTGTGTGT